TATTATTATTATTTTTTTTTTTCAAATATATTTTAATCGAAGTTATTTGTTTTACTAGTCATTCGAATATCCTAAAAAATTTGAATGTTATTTAATACTTTTTGCTTTTGTTTTGTCTTTATTTTTGAAACTATAATTTGACTTTTTAAATATCTTATTCTTTAATCCCAGTTAATTATCTGAATACTTTCATATATTTTCATATTTCGATACTGTCGTTAATAGTTAAAACTCTCCAACCATTTTTAATATAAATATCATTTGATTTCCTAAATTCATCTACTCCTTATATAGCTATTTCATTTATTTAATATTATATATTATATCCACTGTTTACTTTTAAATATCATTAAGCGTTTGCTAATATGCTTTTATTTTTCATTTGATCGTCATATCTTCCTTCATTTCCTTTACTTGGACTTCTTCAAGTCCAACTAAACTTTATTCACATTTTAAATTCATTATTCGTAGTCACACTCGATTTTAGACCGCACGCTCCTCCAGCCCGGGCTCGACCACGCCCAGAGGCGTCAGCTGCAGCGCGATGCCGTCCTGCAGGCTGACCAGAGGGCGTCTCGAGTTCAGACTGAACTCGAATTCCAGCAGCAGCAGAGCGAGTGCCACGCGCAGCTTCAGCTCTGCAAATTGCATTCCAATGCAGTTCCGCACCCCGGAGCCAAAGCCGAACCAGGTGCTCTGCTCCTTGAAGGAGTCGCGCGGACTGCCCCAGCGCTCGGGCTTGAATCGGTCCGGCTCCGGGTAATACTCGGGATCGTTGTGTATGGCGTGCGTCGGGATGATCACGAATATCTCCTTGGCTAGCGTGTACTTCATGTGATCCGGCACCGTGTAGTCGTTGAGGCAGCGTCGCATTATGTACGGCGTGATGGGATGCATCCGGAGCGTCTCGAGTATGACGTGGCCCATTAGCGTCAGGGATTGCACACACTCGTAGCTGAGCTGGTTCTGGTGCTTGGCCATGACCTCCTTCAGTTCCTGGCGCAACTCGCGCTGCACCTCCGGGTTGAGCGCCAGCTCGTAGAGAGCGAGGGACAACGTATTGGCGGTTTGCTCGTATCCGGCCTTGAGGAAGACGAATGCATGGGCGGCCAGCTCGTGCTGCAGATGCGCCTTCAGCTCCTTGTCGGCCTCGTACTCGTGCGTGGTCAGCTCCACGGCCTTGATATCCAGCAGCAGCTGCAGATAGTCCTGTCGCCGCTCCCCCGCCGCCTCCCGCTGCGCCACAATGTCCTCGAGCAGGCTCAGAAAGTAGTCCTCGGCCGCCTTAGGCGTTTGACGCAGCCGCAGCTTCCGACAGACGTTGGGAAAGCGTATCATCAGCAGATTCATCAGATAGCCGTGCTTGCGTGTGCTCAGTGCCAGCTCCGTCATCTGCTCAAACTCGTCCAGCGAGTACTTCTGCCGCTGCTCGGCGTTCACGCCGAACACACAGCTGGCCAGGGCCGAGAGCACGTAGCGTCGCATTAGCTTCTGTATGTGGAGCGTCGAGTGGGACTGCTTCATCAGCGTGCTGCTGACCGTTAGCAGCAGCTGCTCCGCCTCCTGGTAGAGGCTGTCATAGAGCCAGGCCATGCGGTCCCGCTCGAAGCAGGGATCGAGCTTCTGGCGCATCTCCTTCCACTTGTTGCCCCGCAAGCCGTACAGATCGCCCGACAGTGGATCCGACTTCTGATTGCAGTAAATGCCGCGATCATTGAAATTCCAGAAATTCTTGATCATGATCTGCCGTATCAGCTCGCGATCAAGGGCCAGAGCACGCGGCTGCAGCAGCGCATAGAATCCGCAGAACGGGCCGCTGCCCTTGAACTTGTTGTAGATGCTCGTATAGTGGGCGACCTTCATGTCGTCGGTGCTGAGGGACTGCGTGGCGAGCTGCTTGATGATGGGCCAGAGCTTCTTCGGCCTCTCGTGCGGTATGTCCAGATAGCGCCAGTAGTCGCGCTGATAACGCGCGGCCATGACGAGCAGTATCAGCAGACAGAGCACGATTAGGCCTAATATCATGAAAATTATCCACATGTCAGCCATTTTCATGTTTTCTGCGCTTTGAGCTCTGCACGGCAATTAGCGATCCGCAAATACATATAGACACGCACTATACACAGCTATAATCAGATACATATATATGTATATACATACATATATGTATATTATATCACAATATCACAATTTTGGCCAGTGACTCTTTTCGGGGCCGGAAGCCGTATCCGTCAATGATCTAATGCGAGTCGCGGACGCGTTCTCAGCGACAAGCTGAATCTGTTACGTTCATTACCAAAGCGCGCCGTTCGACTGAGTGCAATTGAGTAAAACATATTTACGATACGCTCCGCGCCGTAGCGAGCTTTTCATTTGTGAGGAGGGAATGGGGGGAGTGAGTGTTGGGGCCTGGAGTGCGCTACACTACAGCCATTGCTGCTTATGGCCTGACTTGGCTTAAATGCGCTGCGAGTGGGCGTTCGAGTGAGGCCAGTCTCAATAGCAGTCGCAATGTGAGTAAGTCCGGGTGTAGGATGAATCCATGAGTCGAGCATGAGAAAAAATAAATAAAAATAAAAATATAATAAACCACAAATAATCTAGCTCAGCGCACTTGTCGCTCAGTGTAGGGCATTTCGTCAGTCTGTGCGACAGCGCGGACAGAAATCAATTTAAAGTTCATTTTCGTTTGTTATCAGCTTCATTGTACACCTTTTATTTTGTTGCTTTTGTTATAGATAAAAGAGCAGTTGTTACCTTTGGAAATTTCGCTTTGAGGTGGGGTTATCTCAATTAAAAGTCGAGCAATAAACTAATTGCACCGAGTCAAATAGCTATTTGATGACGATGAGCAAAGCCAAATAAATGCTAAAATTTTGCTTATCGACTCGAAGAATGTCCATTCCTTAGTATTTACTTATTTATAATGTAATTTAACTTTAGTCATGTCATTTTAGCTGCATTTTACAAATCTTTAGATTAATCTGAGTAAACTTATTCGAGTGCTCTTCAAAAATTACTCTCTAGAAATTACTCGCGATGTACTTGTTCAGGTGACCTGCTGAATTTAACATTCAATTAGCGCTTTAATGCTACAACAAAAGCAAAGGAGATGAACGACTAAGAGGTATCCTATACTATATTTAGTAAAATTAGGTAAAATAATTTGGGATTTCTAAAATTATGAAATAAATATATTTATCTAATTTATTCATTCTTAACAAAATAGTTTTGAATGTTTAAAAATATACCCTACTCACTGTTATAAAAATTCATATAGATGTCGCCAACAAAAATAAACAATATAGAAATTTATTTTAGTTCATTTACTGCCATTATTGTTGTGTTATCCGCACTTGAAATCTAATCAAATGTCAAAATAAAATGCGACAAAAAGTAAATACTGGCAGCGTTGCCGGATCACTGTAGGTAAATATAACAATTGTGTGTACTTAAATGACTTAACATACATATATCACAGTGAGCCAAAAAACTTTGCCTCACCTGGCCAACTTATCGCACCGGCTCTCCGTATCTACGCAACGTATAGACCGCGTAGCTTAACTGCCTCATAGAGCTTGTATACATTATTCACAGGAGTCGGACTTGCATCGTGAGTAATCAGATATGAAGCTAGCAGAGCTTGCTTCGCTTTTGATGAGCATTCCTAGCCTAGCATTCCATATTAGCGTAACGTTTATATTGCTGCTTGTAAATTCGAAAAAATGTAAGATAAATGATTATTAAGTGTTTTTATACCCTGAACCCATTTTCAATGGGAAATCAGGGTATAATGGTTTTGTTGAAATGTATGTAACAGGGAGAAGGAGGCGTGGCAGACYCCWCRAAGTATATATATTMTTGATCAGGGTGACGAGCTGAGTTGATTTGGCCCTGTCCGTCTGTCTGTCCGTCTGTCCGTCTGTCCGTCTGTCCGTCTGTCCG